TATCAAAAAACGTACACAGAAGAGGAATCTGATTGTTTACCAGAATGTTACTATCTTAAAAAAGAAAGACGTCTTGATGAGTAAATGAAGACCAGCACACATTCAGGCTGATGAGAAATGGGCAGAAGTTTATCAATACTACCAGTGGGTTATCGAAAAGAGGTGTTGCAGATTGCAGATGTATTAACACGAGGAGGTAATTTGGCATAAGGAAGACTCAAGCCAAAATACGAAAAAACATGCTTACTCATATGATCCCTACAGTCCACATCCAGACCTATCCCCCTAATCTACAGATCCCTGAACACAATGGGCAATTTAGCACAGCGAATCCACCTACGCTGCACATCTTTGGACTGTGGGAGAAAACTGGAGCACCCAGAGAAAACCCACGCAGACACGGGTAGAATGTGCAAGCTCCACACAGACAGTCGCACGATGGTGGAATTGAACCCGGGTGCCTGGCGCTGTGAGGCAGCAGTTCTAACCAGTGAGCTACCATGCCGCTTGGACTACCTTATGCTTTGGTTGCTTTTTACCAGACATGTCTGTTGTTTCAAGTAAGTATTCACAGAATCCCTACAGTATGAAATCAGACCATTCATCCCAACAAGTCCGCACTGATTCTCCGAAGAACTTCCCATCCAGACTCATTCTCCCTACCCTATCCCTGTAACCCTGCATTCCCTATGGCTAGACATACCTGAATGCTATCAGCAATTTAGCATGAGCAATCCATCTAACCTGCATATCTTTGGATTGTGGGAGGAAAGTGGTGCTCCCGAAGGAATCCTATGCTGACACGGGGAGAACTTGTAAAACCCATACAGCGAGTCACCCAAGTTTGGAATTGAACACATGTCCCTAGTGGTGTGCGGCAGTAGTGCGAGCCAGTGAGCTACTGTGCCACCGGTTATTGGGAAATCTCACGCGGTGATAAAATCAGCACCTTTAATAACCATTCCCAAATTTGAGGAAACACTTACAAGGGTCTTTATTGATTGCGTAGGACCACTACTTAAAATGAAAAGTGGGAATCAGTATTTGATGATGGAAATGAATGTGTCCACACGCATTGAGGAGGCATTTCATTACACAATATCACAGCTAAAGGAATTATATTTACTTTTTTTTTCTCTAGATATCAATGACCAACAGAGATACAGCTCAAGGATTAAATTTTACATCACAATTATCCAGGGAAGTTATGGATGGCTTCGGAATAAGCAATCCAATTGACTGCACCCCTTCCACAATCGCAGGAAACATTACAATGGTGGCATTAAATTTACATGTTAAGGGCTGATATTCAAGACTACCAAATGGATCAGGATAAAACAATTCCATTCGTACTTTTCGCAATTAGGGATGAACCAAACGAATCTACAAAATTCAGTACATTTAAATTGGATTTAGGGCATGAGCTGAGGTGACCACTGAAATTAATTGAGGACAAGTTGGTGAGTCAGAGTTCAGAGACAACATATTGGACTATGTGTCAAAATTTAGGGAAGGATGAAATAGATTGCGTGAGTTAGCTCGACAGCATTTAAAAGTAGCACAGCATACGATGAAACAGAAGGAGATATAAAATCAAAAACCACAATTTTGGTCGTGAGGATAAAGGATTAGTGCTATTTCCAGCGAAAGCAATGTTCAGTGGACCTTATCAAGTCGAAACGAGTTGGAGTGAGTTGAATTATTTGAAAAGACGCCAGATACAAAGGAACCTCAAAGAGTGTGTCATATGAATATGTTCAAACGTATTTTGATCAGAAAGTAAAGCAAAAGGCGGATGTGCTACTGGTTTCAAAGAAGAGTGACGGATCAGAAGATTATGAATTGGACGTTCCTCAAATTATATTGTAGAATGTGGAAGTTCTTTAAAAAAAAACGGGATAATTCATTGAGTTACCTTCCAGGGGAACATCAGAATGACCTGAAAGAGTTCTGACTATCACATGGGGAGATACGTTGGAATAAGCTGAGAGGTACTATTATAATTACGGATGATGTGCGTATAGGAAATGCTGTTCCAATTGAGCAAAATATTTATAGACGTACCACTCTAAAGTTGGCACATGTTCAAAACGAGACTTAATGCACGCTCAAAGACAAAATAATTGAAGTGAGTTGCAATGACTGGGGCTTACTCATAGGTATGAGGTCAAAGCTAGATGGTACACAATGATTTCACAAAGTCAAAGAAGTTACAAAATCTGATTCATATCCTGTTGCACCTTTGGATCACTACATTGAGAAGGTGGATTGAGCAATTTATATTTATAATTTGGTATTACTCGGAGGATATTGGTAAGCACCTTTACCTGAAAGACTGAAGGCAATTTCGGTTTTTGTGACACCAAATGGACTATACCAATTTAAAATCATGTCATTTAGTATGAAAAATGCACCAACCTCATTTCAAAGACTAACCAATGAAGTCATTTCTGGGTTATGTAATAGTGTGGTGTCCATCAACGACCCAGAGACTTTTAGTTGCACATGGAAGGAACATTTGCAGCATTAATTGGAATTGTTCAATGACTTCAGGATGCAGGCTAAGAGTGAATTTGTAAAAGCCCAACTCCTGTTTCTGGATTGTATTACTGGACATGGACAGATGACCCCCACGGGATGTGAAAACAAAGGTTATTGGGAGTTTTCCATATCATCGATGGAGAGTTCAGTGCTATGAATCCTGGTATTGAATGGTTTTTAATGGAAGTTTCTGCCGAATTTTAGCAGTGTGGTTGCTCCACTGACTGACGTATTGAAGAAATGCAGAAAATGACTGGATGGTACACTGTCAGAAGGCATTTGACAGCCTGAAAGGTGTGTTAACCACTACCCAGTGTTAGCCACACCGAATTAAGAAAAGCCATTCAAGTTAGCTATCGTGCTAGTGTTGTGGGTGGGAGTGCTGTTCTCTTACAGGAAGATGACAAGAAGATATAAAGACCCATGAGTTACTTCTGCAAAAAAATTGAATACTCATCAACAAAAATATTCCACGACTGAGAAGGACACTTGAACTCACTATATATGTTACAAAATATCAACATTTATATTGCCAGAAATATGTCTGAGACGATTGCATATGCTGATCATAACCCATTAAAGGTTTTGAATAAATTTAAGGACAAAAATTCCAGACTGTTTAAATGAAACTAATTATTACAGACATTCAATTTGAAAATTATGGACATGGCAGAACGAGAAAACATAATTGCCAACGTACTTTCATGGCTTTGATAAAGAAAGATGGAGGTGTTTGGTTTGGGAGTAAACAAACTGAAAGTGAATGTTTGCATGCTGAGAGGCAATGTAATGTAAATGTACAGTAGCATGTTAGTAGGGGAAGACTAAAGGTTTTAAAAAAATGAAGACGTCTTTGTATATTGATGGTTCATTTATTTTTACAAGGGGACATGTGATGATGCTGACACTTTAAACGATTATTTTGTCCTAGTTTTGTTTTTTTGAAGAGAGGTTGTGAGGCAGAGGTGAAGGAATACCGACTGAAGAAGACTTAAGTTAAAAAAAAAAAGGTGAGAACTTACGTAACAAGGTGTAGAGTTGGATGAACACAGCAGGCCAACCAGCATCAGAGGAGCAGGAAAGGTAATGTTTTCGGTCGAGACGCTTCTTCAGAAATGGGGGAAGGGACAGGGATTCTGAAATAAATAGGGAG